ATAAGAAAACACTTTTGACTAAAACATGATTTGAAATAAACTTATCTATGACATTGTTATCTTTATTATATAAACAAAATACACATATTCCAACTTCAAGAAATGGATTTTTTTAAGGAAAATAATATAGTTTATTTGACTTATGTGAATCTTATTTATATATTAAACATTACTAATTCTTTTTTCACAAAACTATAGAGAAATTAATTGTTAAGAAATGATACATAGTGATGTATGACTTTCCTTCTAATGAATGTCTACATTTACTACAAGATACATAATTAACTTTATTAAAAACTATAGTCATTGTAATTATGATTTATATGATAAATGATAATTGTGAAACCTTTATTGAAGTTTTTCAAATATAAATGTGAGATGCAATTCACTAATGTCATCTAAAGCCTTAAACATAATAAAAGATTAACTAAACCTTGCTAGATGTGGTTTACTTTCTAATCAGTAGAAATTATCTTTCTTTACCCTTTTGAGATTATTTCTTAATCAATATTACTTGTATTTCGAATACAAACAAAACCTAAGAAGTAGATAAAACACTTTATAAGATTTACTATGGAAAGGCTTCATCCTTATCTTACTTAATGTTTTGGGGATTTGAAGACCATGTAAGACTAAAGCTTCTAGACCTAAAAGCTACTAAATACATATTTGTAAAATATTCTAAGAGTTTATTTAGATTATTATTTACAAAACCACCAAAAATAAGGTTTCTTATTCATCTGAAAGTTGAGTTGTTAGAATCAAGCTTCTAATGATAAAGCAAGTAGGAGGCACATGTAACTTGAAGTATCTCGAAAACCATAACCTGATGTAATGAAAGTTTGCACTAGTTTCAAAAAATAATTGTTGAACATGAAAAATAGCTACTCATAAACACAAAGTGTTTGTATATATAGTAGAAATCATTTATAACATGAGAAATACATAATCTCTCATTGATGAGTTTTCTTGATAGTTTCTGGTAAACCTATCAACTACCAAAATGCTATATCAGGCTTAGAACCTGATAAATGAATCAGGGCCATGAACACTAAAATATAATCCATGCATAATAATAAAGTATGGACTTGATTAATCTTCATCCCTATAGTAAGACTAGAAGGAATAAGTGATTCTTTTAGAAAGAGAAACAAACATGGAGATCTATACATATTTACCAAGACTTTTTATAAAAGGTTTATCTCATACTCATGTCATTGAGTATGATCAAACCTTTTCTTAAGTAGTTATCATTAGTTCTACAAGATAGTATTTATCATAACTACATATGATTATGAGATATGACAAATAGATTTCAAGAAAATTATTTTTCTTAACAGAGACCTACTTGAAGATGCCTATATAGTTTAGCCTGGAGATTTTCTTAATGCAAGATATCCTAAAAATACGTGTAAGAATTAAGACCCATTTATAGATATAAATCAAGCATCTTAAGGTTGGAATTGTCATTTTATATAAAAACATAAAGTATGTTTTTACATCAAAATGAAGATAACAAATGTGTATACTAAGAACTAGTGGGAGCATAGTGATATTCCTAATCTTGTATGAATAAGACATACTTAATCATGAGAATGTACATTCCAACTATGCAAGTCCATTTCTCTTTGACTCGAAAAATGTTTCTAAAATGAAAAACTTAGGACACACAAGGTACGTTATTGGAATGTAAAAATCTAGGGAGATAGATAAATATGAATGTTAAAAGCTTCTAAATCTTTATGCATATGTTGATAATATCTTAAAAGAGATCAAGATACAAGATTCCTTTAGAGGACTCTTGACATTGACCCATGGAATCAATTTTGTGTTAGCCTCAAAAAGGACCTAGCACATAGGTTTGAGCTTGGTAAAATGAGTTATATTTTATTTTCTTTGATAAATGAATTCGTCATTTATGTCATATTATGCACATGACCAGGTATATGATCATGTTATTAACATATCATAAGATACCAATAAGATACATATGATAGTCATTAGATGAATATAAGAACATTCTTAAAGTACTTAATAAGAACTAAGATAATGTATGTGAGTTAGTTAGTTTAGAAGAAGATCTTTATTTAAAGAGCTACTAACTTCAAAAAAGATTAGATAATTATGAATTATAATTGGATTATGACTTCATTATGAATGAAGGATGAGTTTTGATTGGAATGAGCTCCAACAAAAACATAATTGCACATCTACTACAAAATAAGAATACACAGCTACTTCAGAAGCTGCAATCAAATATGATTAGATTAATGAGTTCATTGAAAAACTAAGTTGAATCCTTCCATTCAAGGATAACCTAGAAATATTTTTTGACTTTAAGTTTGTACTTAATCAATCTAAGGGCTCTTAGTCACATCATAACACTAATCATATCCTCCTAGATATTTAACTATACTTAGAATAAAGTCAAATAAGGAGATGATAGTATTCGCAGAATTCACACAAATTAAATTTAGTCAGTCACGTTAACAAAGTCTTTCCTTTAAGCTAAGCATGAAAGGTCAAGCTTGAGTTATAGGACTTTGTTATTCTAAAAATATTATTAGATTTAGATTTAGTATTTTGATATTTGAACATTGTGACAACAACTATTATATTATTTTGATAAATAAGGATATGATAATCACATTAATGCTTGTTGTGTTCTATATTAATATGTTTAATCCATGAATAATCTAATTATTATAAAATTTCATAGTTAGTAATAACTAATGGAGAATTTATGAAGTAACACTAATATGAATTGGAATGATTAACTCTCATAAAATGAAAGTAGACAATAGGTTGTAACCAAGATTCATAAGTACTTGTCAGATAATAAGTATTGGACATGACCGCATTAAGATCACCTCATGGATCGCTATCATGAGTGATACTTGATAAAAGGTAGTATCTTTGTATCCTTAATACCTGAGATTCATATTAGGACTTAAGTGTAGGGATCACTATACTTTGACATGGTCAAATGTTGTTTTTTGACCAGACAGTTACAAAGGCCTATATCAGGTGTGATATTAACTATACAAGAGTCGTATGTAGTCAAGATGTGATTTGTTCCTCTTATGTGTTGAGAGTTATACATCTAATGTGCGTTACCTAAAGTTGAGCACCAAATGAGATTGATTGCGATGTAAGTCTCATGTTCAACATGATGTCTGTAACAAAGGGGTGACTAATAAATTTATCTTATACATCAATTGTAGCCTTGAGGTTTTAGGGATTAGAGGTTGATGAACGAAATTTTTCGTCGTGTGTTATTAAGGGTAGTGAAATATTACTAAACATTCACCACCGTCTGTATCAATCTATGATGAGTCTTCTATAACTGGAAGATTGAAAGATCTTTATGCCCATTAGTCATTATAAAATGATATTTAGTAATGATATATAGGGTGGGTAACAAGTCACTACTTATTGATTATTTATTAGAGTAATTTGATGATTAATAAATATTATCAACACTTGTATTTAATTGAAAATTTATTATTTATGAAAATATTATTTTTTTAGAGAAAATAACACCTAGTAAATCATAAGGTATAAGTTTATAAGTTGTATACATCTTTTTGGACCTTTAGAAGTCCATTTATATAAACATATGTTATATAAATATAAGATTTATATGCTAGTAAATGAATTGGAGCAAAAGACAAAACTAGTTTTGACTTTGTGATGTCAAAACCATAGGTACACAAAAGTGTGGCTTGTGTATTGCTTTTTGGTTTTTCTTTACTCACCCGTGATTGTCGTAAGTCCTACGCCTTCCTTCAATACAATTAAGGTCATATCTTAACGTTAGTATATAAAGAAATACATGCTAGTTGTTTTGGCTAATGAATTGTTCTCCTTTTTCTCATATGGTCGTAGGTTTCTATGGTCTTTTCCTCTCATATCTCTTGCATTGTAAAGCGTAGAATTGTGTGCTTAAGTTGCTTTTCATTTATGGCTTATTTATTACACTACTAGAAAAATTAGAAATACCTACGGAAAATACCTACGGAAATTTTCCGTAGGTAATTACCGACGGAATAGTGACGGAATACCTACGGAAAAGAATGCCCTAGTTTACTAACAGATTTATGACGGAATAGCTACGGAATAGCGACGGAAGGAATCTCCTAGGAATTCCGTCGGTATTTACCTACGGAATACCTACGGAACCACTCTTACTTACGCCAATTAAGAATCTCGTAGGAATTCCGTAGGTAATTACCTACGGAATACCTACGGAACCACCCTTACATGCATCCGTTAACTTTACCTACGGACAAGAAAATCCGTTAACTTTACCTACGAAATACCTACGAACAAGAAAAAAGGAAAAAACGATGGGGGTGGGATTCAAACTCAGGTCTCATGTGTATTGTGCCAAAGACGTTCGGTGCCCGAAATATCAAAAATAAAGAAAATTCGTCGCTATTCCGTTAGTAATTTCCGACGGATTACCTACGGATTTTCTTTATTTTCGACATTTTTGGCACCGAACGTCATTTTTTTCACTTCGTTTTTTTCACACCTCTACTATACATGATTATCTAGACTTTCACCAAGTTATACCTAATATATATGTGTGTATAGCTATGTGCACCTTTCGATCTATTACTCCTTTCATACCGTTGCTCCTTTCACATACATTCACACATAAACACATACATGCATACACATACACAACATTCACATACATACAAATACATATATAAGATTCTCATACATACATACACATACATATACATTCACACATACCTATAGACAGATACACACATATATATACATACATACACATATATTCACACATTCACACATACACACATACACATACATTCACACATACACTTACATTAACACATACACATACACACATGTACATACATCCACACAACTCGACTATGCTCCATGCATGTCCTATACCCATCCTAGGTCAAAATAAAGGAAAATGAGGGCAAAGGTCCAACTGTAAAGTTACTAACCTTATGGATCCTATGCATGCTACCCAACCCAAGAGCTTTCGGACTTACAAAGGTCCAACGGTATGTCTATGTCTATGTGTATGTGTATGTTTGTACGTATGTATGGGTCTATGTGTGTCTATGTGTATGTGTATGTATGTCTGTGTCTACGTGCGCATACATACACATATACACATACATACATACATACATGAATGTATGTATATATGTGTATATGAATATACGTTGATGCGACCTTGAAGTTGGCTCGATTGGTGTTACACAGCTAAAAATCTCCGCCGTCTCTGCAAGATCACAAAGAAGAAAGGGCCGTCAGCCGTTCCCGGGAGGGTGCTCCTGAAAGAACGCTCCGACGGTCAAGTTAGAGGGTTTCTAGGGTTTTTTGGGTGTCTTTCTGAGAGAGAATAGCTTACCTCTTGAGTCTGAGAGCGTATCCTTTTATACTTAGCGCTCTTGCCCAGTCCGTACTAGACAAGATCGCTTTTGAGGAGACAAGATCAGGGGCGCTGATTGGAGGGTCATGTGCCTTCAACCTTCAGGGTGCTCTCATTGGCCTGATGCTACTGTCTGTCTCCTGACCATATCTTTTGTCTTGGAGCTAAGAGTGTCCCTTGGCGGGCGCGAGCTTTTAGTCGGGACAACAGAAATGCCTCTTGGCGGGCGCGAGCCCCTCGCCTAGGCATTCTTTTCCCGGGAGTGCTGGCGGGCGCTGAGCCCGCTATGGCGCTAGGCTCTTTAGCTAGACGCGATTCTGTCGTGCCGTCTTAGGTACGTCATCAAGTCCCCCAGTCCGGTAGCCGTAGCGTTGCAGCGCTAGTTACGGCGTTCTGGACTTGATTAGCCTACACGTGTTGGTTTTCCCTTTACCTGCCGCTCCGTCTTTAATGGCGACGTGAATGCGCATGATGGCTGGCGGTTACGTCATTACCTACGAATTTTCTTTATTTATGACATTTTTGGCACCGAACGTCGTTTTTTTCGCTTCATTTTTTAGCACTTCTACTAGACATGATTATCTATACTTTCACCAAGTTATACCTAATATCTATGTGTGTATAGTCATGTGCACCTTTCGATCTATTACTCATTTCGTACCGTTACTCCTTTCACATACATTCACACATAAACACATGTATGTGTGTACGCATGTGTGGGTGTGTCTAAATGTGTCTATGTGTATGTGTGTATGTATGGGTGTATGTGTGTTTTAGTGTGTTTATGTGTATATGTATGTATGGGTGTATGTGTGTCTAAGTGTGTCTATGTGTGTATATGTATGTATATATGTGTGTATGTGTATGCATGGGTGTATGTGTCTCTGTGTGTTTATATGTATGTGTGGATGTGTATGTGTATGTGTTTCTAAGTGTGTCTATATGTATGTATGTGTATGTGTATGTGTGTATGTATGTCTATGTGTATGTCTGTGTACGTGTATGTGTTTCTGAGAGAGAGAGAGAGAGAGAGAGAGAGAGAGAGAGAGAGAGAGAGAGAGAGAGAGAGAGAGAGAGATCTGAAACCTTGGATTGTCTTTGGGTTTAAGATGGTTTTTAGTTAACATTCAAGATAACGTTGATCTTAAATATCATTCTATATATTCTTCGTAAGCAATTTATCTGACAATGAAATAAACATCAGGTTTTCCGTTGCTTTGGTAAATGTTGTTCTATTATAATGATGAATCATTGGGATCCCTTTTTTCCCGTTTTGACACTCAATGCCACGTCAGCGCACACTACAATTCATTAGTTCCACAATAGGGCCACATCATCATGGAGTGCCAAATTAGCGTGCCACGTCACGCAACAACCACGTAACCAGTTAAGTGATCAAGATTAAAACAAATTAGAAAAATCAATGTTTTAATTTAAACAAAAAAATAGTTTTGAAATCAGAAAAGTCAAAATATAATAATTTTTATGCGATTTACCTAAAAATAATATGTATTGTGTTTTTTTTCAAACCTGATTCACAAATTTTATCTCTATAACTAAAGCTTTATAATTTTATAAATCGAATTATATGAAAACAAAATATATACATAATAATACAATTAATCGTATTAAGGTTTTCAAAACAATAAAAGTTGTTCAAAGATTAGGATAAATAATCTGAGTTTTATCCATTTTTATTATCCATGAAAACTTGAAAAGTCCTCACTCATTAATCCATTAATCCATTTTAGCGGGATATTTGACGAAAAATTCTAATTTCCCTCCTAGGTTTCCTCTATCATCCCAATTCCTTATCTGCTTTCCCTCTTTTCTTTCGCTACTACGAAGTCGATCCCCAGAGACCTTCCAATTCCTCTCCGATCTACATACAATCGCCGACTGCCTTTCTCCTCGCCAGTGACACCGTCGCCTCCGTCCAATCCAGCGACGCCGCCTCGCCATTGCTGATTGGCGTGTTTTATTCCTTGTTTTTCCACAACTCAGGCTTGACCGCCCCCGTCTGTGACTTGTACAGCTCCATCGCCGGCGCACAGCCCCGTCGCCGTCGCACAGCCTCGTTGCTGTCGCACAGCCCCGTCGCCGCCACACAACCTTCCTTTGACAGTTCCATCTCCACGTATGCAATTTCTTCTCTTTCTCTTTCTCTCTCTCTCTGGATCTTTACTCTTAATTCTTCTTTTTGATTTCCTTCAGGCGACATTGAAGTATCACATATGAGTTGTCTTCGACTTGTGGACGGTATTCCCCTTTTCAATTTCATTACATTTGTTTGTTTTCAATTTTAGGGTTCTTCTATTTCCTTGAATGGTCATATTCCGAGATCTTTTAGTCAATTCTTCAATGAAAAGCTCACATGCTTTTGAAAACACAAGTCTCTTGAAATCATCTGCATGTCTACACTTGATTTCTTTATAATCTTCTTGATTCTTGCTAATGGAAACAAATGGGGCCTCCTGATAAAATCCCAGAATATACACCAGCTTGCCTCATCTCAAACAAAATGGCTCAATGGTAAATACGAAATAAGATCTTGTTTTGATGAATCAATAGAGATGATTATCTAAATTATGATTTATATGCAGGTCTTGTGTATATTACGGTTTATGAGCAGGTCTTGTGTAAATTATGATTTATGAGGTGTTTTTTAGCTATAATTTCAGTGATAAGCATGCTGTTATGTGACTTGACTGATTTTTAGCTATAATTTATGTGATAAGCATGCTGACTTGTGTAAATTATGATTTATGAGGTTGTTTTTAGCTATAATTATGATTCATACATTCATATAGTTGATGAGTTCTGATATCTGTGATAACCAAGCTTGTTTCTGATTTTTGTGCATACATTGACAATATTGTTCCTGATTTTTAATTTTTGGTGTGAATTTATTATCTCTGGTCTGTGTTTTTTGAAATCCGGTTTGTTTCCTGCATCCTATTTTTATTTTATCCATTACTAGCATTATACTTTGGAAATCTATCCAACAAGATAATTTTACATAAAACATTGTTGGAAGGTGAAGAGATGAAAGTATAATGTTGTAATAAAAAAGTACATTGCTGTATTTAACTGTATAAATATGATTGTGGGTTTATTTTTCAATGAACATTGTATTTTTTTCACCATTTGGATGTTTCCCCATAAATAAATTTGCTCCTATTGTGGTTTAAAATTTGACAACATTTACTAATTATATGTGTTTGACTAACCATTTTTCTAGGTGTGGGTGTTGCAAGGCAACAAGACAAACACAACTTGAGAAACAATTCGCGACTTTTATGTGAGAATTCATTAACCACCCGGTAATCCACCAAATGATTCTCATTTTTTATGTGTTAAACACTTAGTAGTTGACACTTTGAATGTATAGATGATATCGTTTATTGTAATGTTTATTTTTGAAAAATGATGTTTTTTTATAATGTGTTAAACACTTAGTAATGTGTTTGGCGTTTGTAGTTTAACTTAATGAATTTTTACTTCATTTTGGCAAGAATTAATTGAATTGTACTAAAGTACAATGTTATAACCGACAATGTTTATTATAATGTTTAATAGTTTTGTGGTTAAATATAGTTTATTTTTATAAGTTTAATGTATTGGATTTTTTTTTCTGCATTTTAAGCAGAAAAAAAATCCTTTTTTTTAAAAATTTTTGTACTCATTTTAGTGACGGAATACCTACGGAAAATCCGTTGGTAATTTTTTCCGTCGGAAATCCGTAGGTAACAAAGTCAATGTCAGTCAAAGCGGTCCTGTTGATAATCTGTAGGAGATCCGTCGCTATTTCTTTCCGTAGGTATTCCGTAGAAAAATTTGAGTCGTCAATAATCCATAGGAAATCCGTCGCTATATCTCTTCGTGGGTATTCCGTCGGTAAATTACCTACGAAAAAGTGTCGTCGGTATTCCGTAGGTAATCTGTCGCAATTCCGTCGCTAACATTTACCCACGGGCGATTATGCTACGACACATTTTCCGTCACAATTCCGTAGGTAAAGTCGTATACCTACGGATTGTGCCGTAGGTAATTTAAGATTTTCTAGTAGTGTTATAAGTTCGTTAAGGATTAAGAAGTGTTTAATACAAGTGAAGACTAGCATCTTGAAGTGGTTTATTCTTGCTTGTTGGATACAGTATAGCGAGCTTTTATTTTGGAGTTTTTGCTTCACTTCATCAACTTTTAATTTTCCATGAGAATCAAGTCTTCAAAGGTTGTGTTTTTTTTTTCTTCTATGATTGTTTTAATATTTTCATGCTTTGCAAGATGATCATTGATGAGTGAAAACGGTTTTAAAATTATTCATTTTAAATTCTTTTCGTTGCTAAACTAATTTTTTTTATAGACTATTTTCTTAGTAAAACCCAACAGTAAGAAGTCACATTAATTTCTCTTTTAAACATGTAATTTAATGTAGATCTTATTTTAAGTATTTTGTTATGTATATTGATCTCAATGCATTGTTTACAAAAAAAAATAAAATTAAACAACTTTGTATGAATGACTTAATTATAATTGGATAGATTTATTATAATACAATGCCATAATAAAAACAAATGAAAATAAGATGTTATAAAAAAAAAAAAATCCATCCATTGTTTTTAAATAAACGTGTATAAGAGTACTTTGCTTTTGTTCATAGTCTTCATAGCAATTTTTTTTTTTTTTTTTTTTTTTGTAAAACCTAATTTTTTTAGAACAGAGATATATTAAAATTCTATAAGACAATAGAAGAAAAAAAAAAATTACAAAGTAGCTACATGGGAGTTACACAACTAACGACCCCAAAACATTTTAATTCTTACGCCTATTGCAAATCGAAAAATAAGAAAAGGACACTACATTATCAAAAAGTAAATCTCCCGTATACTTCTTCCTCCAAAAATTAGTTTGTTCCTGAATTTCCAAATAAACCAAATCGTGACAATAACCACAGAAGTATCTCCTATTAACACCTGGCAAGTATCTCCTATTAACAGCTGGCATACTAGAAGAATTCACAACATGAAATCAAAAACCTTAAAAGGTAAAAGGTAACCAGAGTACCCACCAAACAAGAATCTGATGCCATAGAAGAGGAAAGATCATTAAGTGAAACCTAGTTGCTATGCTCATAGAGTCTAGAGAAAACATATCGTTTCAAAAAAAAAAAAAGTTAAATTAAACTTTCATTAATTATGTATATATTATTGCCAAAGAAAAAAAAAAGTCATTACTTGTTATTAGTATTTGCAAATTAGCCCTTGAACTTCCAAAATATTTAACAAGCTAACCGTACGTGCAAAACCCATTACCAATTTCAACCGCATCGCCATCCATCAATTTATTTTGAACAAAAGTTATCACCAAATAAGTTATTTGAAATAAAAAATAATAATAATAATTGGATTCGACAGAAGTTATTACTATACTTTTTATCCGTTTTGGATATGGCAAGATTAGAAATATATAACTTATATATTGACAGCGATAGCATTAATTAATTAAGTATTAATAGAAATTCTATTATAATATTTAATTATTTATTTAAAGAGACCACTTGGAAGGCCACTCATACAGTGGAACCATTTCTCTGTGATGAGTAGTTGTCTGGAACAAAAACGACAACACAAAATTCTAGATAATAATCTGCACAAGCTAAGAACCCATTGTTTGTAGAATAACTAAAACTGCTTGGAAAGATGTATTGTACATGTTAATACAACCACAAGATCAGTGATAGCAGAGATACTCAGCTCAAATTAAACCCTAAAGCACCAATATTGTTGGTGGTGGTGGTGGTGGATGATGCGGCTGATGACAGTAAGAAAGTGGTGGACGTTACAAGGTATGGTGATGGTGCCTTTCTGTTCGAACCCATACTCTTCTTCGGCCTCCTTCAACAGCTGCATGAAGAGCGGGTGGTTAAAACAGATAATTGGAACCACAAATCTTTGTTGCTCACCGCCTGCTTCACCGACATTCACAGCTAAGCACCCTTTCGGCACCTGCACCTGATGATGCTGCTGCGCCCTCCCACCACGATATTGAGGAAGACGAACCAGATGCTTGCTGATTGCAGTGCTACCCATTAGAATTTCTGATCAGTAGTGGCCTAATGGGAGACTGAAGTTGTAGGGGGTACGTAGGAGAGGGTTCGATATGATCGAGGTTAATGGCAAGAGGAAATTGATAACACGTGGGTTATCGGTTGGAGATACGTGGAAGATGCATGGTCGGGATTAACCGTATTCAACTCCAACAACATATATATACACACTTTCCAAGTTGGCAAATTATATATTACATTTTCATATGTATGTGAGTATGTGTTTGATTTCTTTTATTTCAGGAGATTCTTAGTATTTTAAAGTATCTTTTGCTTTACTTGTTTAATTATAAAGAAACTGATATTTATCATATTAATTTTATTGTTTACGAATAGGTATTGTTAGGTTGGAGGGTATGTTGTCATTCTTATCCGAATTTTTCGGTAGTTATATAGACATTATCTCGCCTTCATGTCATTTTTACCATAAAAATATGGTTATTTTTGCCAAGATCACGACAAACATTTTAAAATTTCATAAAACAATTCAATTTTAATAAAAAACATAAATTTCATTACTTAAAAAAAAACAACATGACACTAAAAAAACTCGTAAACACTTAGAAAACAAAAATAACTAAAAATTTTAAACTTACAATGTAATAATAATAAATAAATAAATAATTAACTAATTAACATAACATTTATTAACGCCGGATTTCACCGCCAAAGCAATTTCAAGCACCTCCAATGTCATGTGACTTGTGTCTAGCGTTAGTAGTTTCATGTCAGTATCACTATAACAATCGGACCCTATGGAGACGACAAATTCAGACCCTATCCAGACGACAAGTCGTCGGTATAGGGCATGGAGACGACAAGTCGTCGACAAAGGGTCGTCGGCACAGGCGTGTCGGCATAGATGTCGTCGGCATAGTTCCACCTATTGCGACGACATGTTGTCGGTACAGCTTTCGTCAACCATATTCTCAGGGAAAAAAAATAAAGTTTTATTAAAAATCTGTGGCGACGACATGTCGTCGGGAAACCTATAGCGACGACCAGTCGTCGCGAAAGGTCTAAGCTATTACGATGACATGTCTACAAAAACGACGTCGTACTTTATTTCAGGAACATGTATTTAAAATAAATGGAAAAGCTATTTTTCGTAACCTATCCCGACGACATGTCGTCGGTATAGGTTATATAAAACGACGGCGTTTTCTATTTCTGGAACATGTATTTAAAATAAATAGAAAAGCTATTTTTCGTTACCTATCCCGACGAAAAGTTGTCGGTACAGAGTTTCAAAATACCGTGAAAAATTTTGTCGTTACCGCTAGACCTGTAGCGAAGACATGTCGTTGGCACATATATCCTGGTCAAAGCAATTTAGTCAAAGTTTGCAAACGATGTGCCGACGACAAGTCGTCGGCATAGAGGTCCTTTTAGCGACGAAAATCATCGTCGGCATAGGTGTCGTCGGCATAGGTCCATATTCTTGTAGTGTATCCCTTTGTTTCCTATGCTCTCTTTCGGAAGCAACTTGTAAAAATTTGTTCATTCTTTCATTTAGACCCTTCACCTCGCCCCCGTTACTTTCAAGTCATATGAATCTACCGCTTTGTCTTTTTCTTTGCATTTTGCTTTGTCCATTCTCATTGGTCGGGGATGTGGTGTAACTTTGTAACGCCCCAAATATCCCATGTAATTTTTTTTGTTTTAAGTATATCAAAACCATCATTGATTCATTCCAAAACCCATCAAAGTGTGAAAATGTATAAAATAGTTATCAAATTAAAAATCATATAAAATGCGAAACACTGGTAGATGCGATGCAATCACGTCGAACTTTTCCCTTTGGAACCGGAAGTACCTGAAACATAAACATAAAGTTATAAGCACAAAGTTTAGTGAGTTCCCCAAAATACCACATACCATACAAATAATTGTCATGGGCTACCGCCAGCGTCTTACAATCCAAGTGACATGGGCTACCCCCATGGTCTTTCATGTAATTGTCATGGGCTGCCCCTCATGGTCTTTCATATAAATGACATGGGCTACATCCATTGTCATTCTTGCAATTGTCATGGGCTGCTCCATGGTCTTTCATAAAAATTCCACGGGCTACCCCCGGGGTCTTCCATGCAAGTATCATAAAGAAAACTAGCATACTACACAATTCAGTGGGCCGACATTGGTACCTTCGACCTACAAGTACAATGAGAAAACTCACCTCAATACAAAGAAAAACAAATCTCACACTAGAGCTGCTTCTATAAAAGCTCCTCACACTAACATATCCAAAACAAACCTAATTAACAATTTGGGTGATAATCCATAATCAAGGGTCCATTACATACTTTCTCTCTCTAGGGTAAATATCCATTTTACCCTTCCAAGGCTAGTCCCTTGCAAACATAGCCTAAAGCCCTAGAAATGACCAATTCCTCTTCTGGGGCTACGCCATGCGTAATCCTGCTCTATGCCTTGCATAGAGTGTTTCCATAAAAAATAGGGCTAAACTAGGTTGTGTGTTGCATAGCCAGGTTTATGCCCTACGTAACTTTGCAGTTTTCCAACTCCCACATTAAGCCCTTAATGTCTTAAGACCAAACGTTCAACAATTAGATCTTGTAACATCCCGATTCCCAGGTATGAGATTATTCCCTTAAGTATGTTTTCCTTTTGAACTCGGCGTGTTGGTAGCCTCAACACGGCATGTTGAAGGACTTTTGGGCCGCGTATTTTTATGGACCAACACAACGAGTTAGTGAGGGGAAACTCGACGTGTTGGTGGCTGGATGAGAAACCCTAAATTTTAGGGTTTTGCACCTTATATAATCCCCTTAAGTCCCTACGGCTGATCTTTTATCATACTCCGAACCCTCTTATCGGCCCTTATGAACACCAATCATCCTTCTATCTCATATTGTGAACTAGGAGGGCATTTTGGAGCAAAAGAAGAAGAAAGTTGGAAGAAGGAAGCAAGGATCTAGCAAGCAAAGCTCTCATCTTCAGTTTGACACTCTTCTGGACCTTTGTAAGTGTCCAAGATTAGATTTTTATCCCTCTATGTAGCTAGATCTTGAGTTTTGTCCCTTTTCTCGTTTATTCTTGGATGTTGCAATGGATGGACCTCATAAAGTTTGCAACTTTATGAATCTCCAGGTCAAGATAACCTTGTAGTGGTTTTGATCTGACCCTTAGTTAAGTTTTGATGCCATGCATGGAGTTTAAGCCATATTTTCCTCTTTTTGACCTATTTTGGGTTCAAGACATGCATTGGACATGCATAGCTTTAAAGCACCAACCTTTGGGTCGATTTTGAGGCTAGAATCTCTTTTGGAAAGGTTGGGTTCCAGATCTCAAGGATTTTGTGCTTATTGGTTAAGCCCTTGAATCTTCAAGCCTTGTGAATGGGTTCATGAGCATTTGGAGTAGCCCCAAAGGATAAAGTTAGAAACTTTATCCTTTTTGATAGCATTTGAGGATAGATCTGAGTCTTGGATTCTCTGGAATCATAGGATCAGCTGAATACATTAAGCTCGGGTAAACTCGACGAGTTTTCAAGCCAACTTGGCGTGTTGGCTGGATTTTTCCCAACCTTCTGATTACTGTAGGAACTCGACGAGTTTATTGGTGCACTCGATGAGTTGGGTCAACATGGACTGTTGACCTTGACCGTTGACCTTGCTTTGACCATGGTTGACCAAGTTGACTTTTGAGGGCATTTTGGGTATTCCGGGATTGTGATGGAATTGGTCACATGGTGGTTATAGGCATTTGAGTCAGGAGTTGAGATTCGGAGTCAGATCTTATCAGTTCTACATTACTTGAGAGGTGAGTGTTCCTCACTGTACTTGTTGAGTCGAAGGCACCAAGGCCGACCCTTTTGGATTGTTATCCTGATTATTGCATGATTGAGTATAGTTGTGATCTGTTAGATTGGTATCCTGGTATTTAGGATGTTGCTATGCTTAGTGATATGTAAGATCTGTTTGTCTGTTGCTGACTGGTTCATAATATGATTATCTGTATTATGTGCACATGATTGGTTGGTGGCTGGGGCTTCACTGCTTTGTGCGTAAGCCAACAGGCCGGGGCATTCCAACCCGATGGTTGAGGACCTAGGGTATTCCATCCCGAGGATGATTGGACCCATAGTATGATGGCATTCCAACCCAATGGTTGAGGGGCCTGGGGTATTCCAAACCGATGGTTGATTGGACCCGTAGTATGCTATTATTATATTTGTGTTGTTTGTTATATATTGGTATTTTGGGGGAAACTCACTAAGCTTTGATCTTACTATTTTTTATTGTGTTTCAGGTACTTCTGAGGATCGCGGGAAGGCGAAGGCGTGATCGTGCACCTCCTCGTATTTTATTTCACGATTTTGGGATTTCTCTGATGTTGAACTTATTTTGAAAACAATTTCTAAACAATGATGGGTTTTGAGTAAATTTGAAAGTTTAAAATTTTTGAGAATTTTATGAATGTTACAGATCTGAACCTAATGGACGTCTAAAAGGGTAAAGTTCCCGCCTTTATGCCTTTGCATGGCTTAATAGAGCCCAAAACCAAACCCTAGGTCAATACCACCCTTTAATGACCTCAACCCCTTGGATAAGTGAAAGATAGCAACAAAAAGTTCATTTTTATGACATATGATCCTCAGAAACAACATAAAATGACAACCTTAAGCTATGAAGTAGCTTTGACTCACAAGAACCAAAACCATGGGACCAAAAGCTTGCAAATCAAGAATCTAGCCTAGATCTAAGCCATAGAACTATAAAGGTGAGAGCTTTATACCTCTAGAAGTTTGAAAAAGAGATGAAAGCTTTGGATCTTCAAGTTTGAGCCACACCAATAAAAAATGATTGACTTCTCATTCTTTAATATGCACCAAGAACTCACAAAAGGGCTTAAACAAGCTCACAAGGGATTGGGGTTTCGAAATAACAGCTTGGGGGAGTGGAGGCTGATGATAACAGAGGCCTCAAGGGACTTAAGGTCTTTAAATAGGGTCTCAAC